CGATGTGATGCTTCAAATTGTGCACTGTCCGCCGCAACAACTATATTTTAATGAGAGAGAAAAGCTGTAAGATCTTGTAGATTAATAGAGCTAAAAGAGATCTGAAATTATCTCAAAAGGTACGCTTGGGCAAAAGAGAAAGTTTTGAAAAGAATTTGAGGAAAATCATGAGCAAAAGGAATTTCTCTTAAATGATATACAATTAAAGTGAATAAGGTGAATCTGATTTTTTCAAAATCTGATGTGCCTTTGTGCTGATGATGTAACATAAATAATGTTATTGCTGGCTTGAATTAAATAAATATATTTTTATTTTTATTTATGATAGTGTATGTTTTTCGTTGTTCTTTATATAATAGTAAGAAATGATATAAAACAAATTTGTTCTAATAATTCTGTAAAGTAATATTTAAATATGGGTGCACATGTATGTGTGTGCATGCGTGTATATATATACACACATATATATAAAGAAACATAGTAATAGACCAAAATTAAAAACAATTTTTTAACCAGTCCTGAGCTATATCTGCAAGATTGAATTAAATTAAAGTATCTAAGTTTAATTTACTTCCAAGTTAAGTACTAATTTGTACTTAAGTTAAAATTAAGTTGGAATCAAATTAAGGCAATTCCTCAACAATATTAATAATGGCAATCGTAGATAAAAGACTTCATCAAGTAGAACTAACTCGAAAAATAAAAATAAAAATGCGAAAAAGAAAAAATGTACAAAAATTATAAAAAGGAATCTCCTTTTACTGAATTTCTAATTCAGAATGCATCAGGGTAAAATGAATTAACGTTTCATAAAAGTCGATTAATATGTTTCGAATACATGTTTCGTTCTTCTGGTGCATTTGAGAACAAAAACCGAAAAAAGATTCAATTAAACTTTCATTTAAGACATTGAAAATTAATTTAAAACCGAAAGCTCGATTCTCCAAACGCATCCAGAATTCCCTACACGCATTAGCAACACTTGGGAAAAAGAATAAAACATTACATAATGCCAAATTAACTACTCAAAAAAAAAACTTTTTGCATTACGCAAATTGACCATTAAAAAAATAAATAAAAGATCGGTCAAATAACATTATATGTAAATCCGACATTCAAAAGCAATTACAAATTAAAGAGCAGAACACATACACTTTGAAATCAAATTGTCATTTAAACAACACTAAAAAATTAGGTGGTCCCCTTTTATGAGATCCTAAACTTTTAATACCAAGAAAACGAACATTTTTCAGAAGAGATTTCTATAAATAATATAAAATCTAATCTGAGCCTTAAACAGCTAAACACTGAAAACCTATATGAAACAAAAATGGAACAAAACGTAAACTTATTGAATTCTAAAGACAACCATCTTTTTTCAAACTGTGTTCCTTGCAGAAGAAAGTTCAGTTCAAGCTACTCTGGAGAAGGAAAAATTTGTACTTCTTGGAAAATGTATGTGATAAGTTTCAAAGTGTCCAATAGCAAAACAAAGTATTTTAGCGGGTATTCAAAGTGTCCTATACTGTTAAACGTTGTATGCGGTGGTGCAAAACGCTGGCTGCGGTCTGTAAAAATTAGTGTCAACTCCAACATGGCGGCGGAAGAAACTTTCTAAAAGATGCTGTGCTTTGTAAAATCTTATAACGCGATAACAAAACTGGCTTAAAGTTGAGGAAAAATAAAAAATTCATATAAAAAATAAAAGACTTCAAGTACTCGGGGTGCAGTTCGTCTTTGAATCCAGAAGCCCCATCTTTTAGTAAAAATAAAGTTTGCTAGTTTGTTTAAATTGAAAAAGTAGTAGAAAGATAGTATAAATAATAATTAATTATTATGTTTTTGATATGCCATATATATATTCTATTGAAACAGCAGCAATAAAATAAAAAAAGTAAAAACATTGCAGACTGCATGGTTGCTGTTGAGAACTGAAATAAGTAAAATTTTAAATATTATAAAATGGACCCAGCAATCCAAAAAGACAAACAAAAATTTTATATTTCTTGAGGCATCATCAGAGATCACAAGAAATGCAAAAAGCATAACCTGTGTTTGCACATAGATATATGAAAATTTTCACTGGTATTCAAAAATTTGTTTTATATATAAAAATTTTTATTTCCTTAACTTTTGACTAAAAGTTAACAAGTTTATTTGAAATGCTATACAGAGCGATTGCTTATAAATAGAAACTGAAAGATTAAATATAATACACCTAACACAGATCTACATTCTGAGATAAATAAAGCTGAAATTATGCATGACAAAGAAGGTTACAAAAAATTAATAACGCAGGAGAAGTTCGTATTATTGACTTTCATATTACGTGTGGTTTCCTCGAACTTATATGTCCCGAAACAGTTTCATACTATCAATGAAGTTAATTGATTTCATGCTGAAGAAGTAACTTAAACGAATCCATTATATTGTCTGAAATGCATTGCGATCTTAGGAGAAAAATTTCACCATGAAACAAATCTTCCAATTATATCCTATGAATTCTTTTTATGGGGTTAATGTCAGGATAATTGGCAGATCACTATATTCATTCAATGCCTCAGGTTTAAAATAAATTCCTCATCCAAGTTTCCTCAATGTTGATGCCAGTTATCATTCATGAAAAGTCTTCAGCTATGGATACTGCAAACTGCATTCTCTATGAATTTGGATTACTGTAACATATATCTCCCCCATTCGTCTTATACATGGGTCCGTATTGCAATTACATTTCGTTGGCATTATGTTAATTGTGTTTACCTGAATAGTTTTAAATTAAACTCCATAAAAATGTCTTTTATAAACATTGTGTCATTTTTTGGCATTAGAATTTTAAACGCAGATTAATGTTGGTTAGTAAGAGAAGAACTCTTTAAATCAGAACATATATACAAATTTATTTTATTTTATCTGAATTTACTTTTGTTAATGTGATCTTAAGCGTCCTACGGTTTATAAAAAATATTTATACAATGCACCGAGTTGCTATGAAATTACTTAAAATTTGAATACTTTCTAGAATATCAATAAAAGTGACTGCGTTATATTATTTTCTTGTTGCTAATTTAAAAAGTTTAAAAACTCTGTTTTTAATTTTAAATATGCGTCACTGCTCGGAACCTTTACGAAGCGATGTTAAGAAAAGCTATTTCAAGAATACCGAAGTAGGTTAGAGTAATATGCTTTACGAGATGAGAGAATATGCTTCGTTGATATACTTTTACTAAAGATAACACAGAAAAGGAAAGATTTAAATTTATTGTTTGCATCCATTGAGAAGAGGTTACCTATCGATGGTAACATGTTCTTAGTTTGTAGATTTCTGTTTCATTTAATTCGGTGGAATGTTTTAAGAGAATAAAAAAGACGTCGAGGTATCCAGTCTTACGATGGCGTTAATGCCGATGAGGAATTCCTTAAAAGTGGCGTTAAAGCAGCAGAGTTGGCGTAACTGGGAGAAGAAAGGGAGTTGAAGGTTTTTCTCTGGGGTAAAAATCATTTTACGCTTAACAGAGAAAGGCGGCGATGCAAAGAAAAGAAAGGCAGAAACCATAAAAAGGAACACTTGACTTCTAGCTTTCAAGAGAGCAGAAAACAAACAAAGCCATCTCTGCGTTGCCAAATACTTTTTCTTCGATAACGAAGGACTGTATTTTTTTTTGGCGTGAAGGCATTTCTGTTGATGGAAGAAAGCAGTATTACTAACAGTTTTCTTATAAAGAACTATCTGCAACATAACTTACAGCTTCTAAAACTTTATAAGGCACTTTCAAATAAAAAGGACTTTGTTAAGATTTGGATATTCTTTATTCAGATTTGATTTTGTGTCTGCCTTCTGTTAACCGTTTCAAATATCTTTATTAGAAAACAAAGCACTGTATTAGCTAAGTTATTTATAACTGAAGCCGTCTTTTATCTTATATAAAAATTTATAGAGTTTCTTAAAATATACTTGTTGAGCAATTATGTCATAAACATCTGTCATTTTTAAATTATTGTTCGGGTTAGTGAAGAATACTTTGCAATTATTGATTTTAAATCATTACAATTTAGAGACCAAAGATATAAACTGAAATGTGATACAATAGACCTGCAAAATTTTAAATCCTATGACAGGAATTAAGTCTTTGAAATTTCGAATGCAAAAAAATTAAAATGAAGCATGGCAATTTATAACAGTCATCTTATAAAATATTTTTCCCTCCTTTCCGCAATGCCTTCATGGTGTAACTGAAAGCACGCTCGACGAGTATTCGAGAGGTCCGTAGTTCGAATCCCGGCGAGGGCACTGCGGATTTCTTCAGTTTCCTTACATCGAAAAATACTAAAATGGCTCTACAAGTGGCGCTCGAACTAAAAGGTGGTGTGCGATAATTTGTCACCATCAGGACTTGGTGATTGTGTCCCCTAATCCCCAGACGCCCTTTAAAGGGGGAGTATATAAGGTATTTTCTCTCTCCTTTCCGCATCCCTTCGTGTTGTAACTGGAAACACGCTCGACCCGTATGAGGGAGGGCCATGCACATTAACACGTTTCAGCGTCGATATAATCTTGTGACTCTACAAACTAAAATCCTGCAAATTAAATGCTAACAGTAAATTCTTATTTTATCTCAGAAACTAAAACCAGACTTTGAATCTACTTCGAAACACTATACAACTTACGCAAAAATAGTGACTAATCTTTAATCGTAAAAAGAATTTTTATGCCAGAAAATTTGAAGTCAAGAAATTTTTAAGTTAGACTGTCAAAAAATATGGAATTAAATATCAAGATAGAGAGTCTTAGATATTTCAAATCTCAGGAACTGCGAGACTCAAATATGCTATGTTAGGTCTCTTTTGGAAAAAAGATATGAGCATTTATATATCAAGTATGTGAATTTTTATATGTCTTATCAAATAGGTAAGAGCATTATTAAATAGGCAAATGTATCATGATGAGTTGTATTCTTTAGAGACGATTCAGATCTCAGGCAATCAATGATGATTTTGTGCAGGTGAGTGGAACGATTATGAATACAGGCCATAGTGTCATATTCCGTTCTGAATCCTTGGATCCTGAAACAGTAGTTAACATCACTGAGGGGCCTTTGTCATACAGGTATCGTTTCGAAGAAATTCACTTACATTACGGGAGGACAGATGATAGAGGATCAGAGCATACAATCGCTGGTTATTCATTCCCAGCAGAAGTAAGTATAAAAAGAAATATTCATGCGTAATTTACTCTGTTTAATTTAAATTTAAATGAATCAGTTTCCTTTTATTGTACATTATCCTAATAAAAGTCACTTTTCATCAGTTGCTTTTGATTACGTTGCTTTAAAAGTAAAATTTAATGAGTATTGATTAAATGCACAATGCACACTGTTTTTCTCTTTTACACTGTGAAAGTTATTGTCAAGAATTTAAGAGCGTTTTGGTTTGAATTTATAGGAATATTTCTGTTTAATGTTTCAGAGTTATCTTTTTTCTTGAGCATTTATTGTTGATTTAAAGTAATTAATTTTTACTGGAGATAATTATTATTTACTATGTTGAATTATGTAATTGAAAAATATCGCTGTTCTACCTTCTTAAGAAAATATTTTTCTTATAATTTTAAAACTTTCAAATATATACTTTTGTAATGTGGCTGTAAATATCCATAATTTAAGCAATGTTTTGGAAAATAAAATGCAATTTTGGTTTGCGGAGAAAGACTGAAACCATGAAAGGGGAAAAAATGCCAAATGCTCTATACTTCTAGTTGTTCCTCATTCGAAAAAACGTATTTTACATAATTTTTGCAATTATTGAATTTAACTACATTTAGGTTTGATTTCAGAGATTAAAACTTAATTCATATTTTAGTCATGAAAGTATCTAAAATTTATTAGAATTTTAAATAAATATTCACAACTACATTTCACATCTAATGTCTGTTTATATTGCAAATCAATAATTTTTACCTTCTTAAAAAGGTTAAGATATTGTAAACTAATAATTTAGACATAATTTATTTTATAACGATATCTTTCTGGAAGAATAGCTGCCTTTAATGGAGTCCAATAGAACATTTTATTTGACTCATATATAAAACATAGCCCTCCGCCGATGCCTCTCTTCAATAAAGATCTTAACTTACTCGCTGTTCTTTATTCTTTCTACACCAAATACGCTTTCCGTCTTTAGTTTATTAGAACGAAAGAAAGGGCCGGAAAGTGGGGGACCTCTCTCCTTCTCTCTCTCCACTGTCGATGTAATTGAGCATTCTTTGGTAAAGGATGCCGCAGAAACGCACTCTGATGAATTCCTGCTGAATCTAATGCATATTGCATGTGGATTTCTTGCCTCTTCTGTCTTTGACAGTAGTCGTATATCATTACAAGAACTTCTACCAACAAATTATTCCCGGCTAATGGGCATCGTCCAGGACAATGTAAAAAGAAAGCAGAGTTTGTGGGCAAAAATATATGTACATTGCAGAAATGCTTTTAAATAAGAGCTATAAGCTCTGAAGTGGAACTTATACACTTCTAAAATGCTTAATGCAAAACTTTGGATTTGGGGTTATATATTCATTTGATTTGACTTCATGCACAATGTTATAACTTATCCTGAAGATGCTACAATATAACCTGAGAAAATATATTAAAAATTGCTACGCAACTATTTCATAAGCAGAAAGGTAGTTCTTTCAGAACAGAGAGAACAAATAGAAAAATCGCTTTAACAGTGCTCCAGTGAGAAAATTAAACAAAACCTGTTTCATCCGTTTCCTTTTTACATGGAAATAACTGTTTTCTATGTTTACTATTGTTTCATTTGACAATGCCATTCATTAACAAGAGCTCAAATCTTGAGAATAACAGTTTTGTAATAAAAATACTTTTAATTCTTACTAATATAATTAAATTCTGGGAAATTTTATAGCATGTATTAGTACTTCTTGTCTAATTTTCTTGTCTTGTTTCTTAAATAATACCTATTTATTTTAAGTAATTTTTAGCGTTAAGTGGAATTTCTGACGAAAAGTAATGAAATATGACTTAGGTTAATCTCTGTTTCCCTAATCATTCTGTGGTTAGTTCTTAGTATAATTATGTTTGTCGTATTACTGCAGCCTTTGCACTGCTGATAGTTTAACTTACTCTACCTTCCTTTCTTGCTATCAGTAGTGCTTATAAAAAAAATTTATTTATTTGAAATTTGAATTGAAATCCAAAGTTATCAGTAAAATTTCAAATATCATAATTCTATTTAAAATTATTATATTGCTTAATAAATAATTATTAGCTGCAAATCAAAAAATAACCTGACAGTCAGAGACGTATGTGTACACATGAGTGTGAAATAAACTTCTTTTGGCGCAACTCTGTTGAAACGGAAGTAGCTGAATCATAGCTGTCTAGTTTAAAGCATTAAAAACTGAAACTCGAGAACTTGAAATTGCACTGAAATGAATTATTAAATTATATGTTCATACTTCTGCAGTAATAGAGCTCTAAAATAATAGTACTTCAAGCAGTCGTTACATCTCCTTCTCGAGCTATAAACTGGAAAGAGAAAACTTGAAATAATTTAAAGAATCATCTTTATAAGTATTTTTGAGTTGAATTAATATCATATTTATACAGTGTAAATGTATTTGAAGAGTGCGCTTACAGTAAGGACAGAAGATGAAGGATTTTTGATAAGAATACCATTTGGGTGTTATATTAAAATCTTTAATTTAGTTTATTTATAATTTTGAATGTTGTACTATTATTTGCAGTAAATGATTTATACAGTTTCGTCTTCTTTGGTAGCATACATTGTACGAAAACTATAAAGATTAAAGAAACCTTATCTATATAAAGGTATATAATAGGTCTTATTAATTACAAAAGGTATTGTTGCTATGTCTTGTTAATTACGACAGAGACTGAGCAAGGATGTAAAAGATCCTTTTATTTAACTCCAATAAAAGTTAACAGAAGGCACTGCTTGTGCTTACAGAATAGCCAGCATTTATGGCTTAACTCAAAAGTAAGAAATTTAAATTAACTAAGTGAAATGTTAAGTTAGCCAACAGATGCACACAGATAGAGAAACGCGCAAGTTGGCTTAGACATAAATCGGCGTGACAAGCTTGATGGCGAGAATACCGCAACGCTGCAGATGTACTGCTCTCAAGAGAATCAGTTAGCAAACGTGGCCTTCAGAAAGCGGAGCGCGCTCTAATTCTACCCTCTAAAACCTTCCTTTAAATACTGTCTCTTTTTTTGCCTCATTTGAATACACGCAAACTAGAAACTTGCATTCCAGCAAGAAAATGGAAAGCGAGAAAGACAGCAAAGGTAATTAAGATAAAATAACTGGTTAGTAAAACAAAATAAATCCTTAAGATTCAAGACATTAACTTTGTTTTACTTAGTTCTCAAAACAGTCCTGTTATTTCTGCATTAAAACAGTCCTGTTTTTTTTTCAATCTGCCATGCTTTATTTGTTGTGCATTGAGTAATTATGTATTAAGCACAGATGATATGGCAATGTTTCTTCTGAAGTCATGAATGCAGGTCTGTGAATTAATAATTTAATAAGCTTTAAAAACAGCCATCTGACTATTTTATTATTGCATTAATTTTTGTTGAAAAAATAACTTTTCATGAAGTTACAGATATTCGGCTACAATTCAGACTTATATAACAACATATCTGAAGCTTTGGCAGTACGGAGAAGTGAAGGCATGGTGGGAATTGCAGTTCTTTTACAAGTATGCATAGCATTTTAATTAATTTTTAATATACCATTTTCAACAAAAGAAGAAGTTTTATATGTTTGCAAAATTGTAATTTCTTGCAATGTAAACATGGGTCGTAAACCATTTGACCTAGTAAAGATGAAAATTTGTTGTAGCGTATCTTCTATAAGTCAACTTGTATCAAAGCCATAATAAATTTTGCACTTTATACGCTCTAAACATGAAAATGTTATGGAATGCATGCGTGACCTAATTGTCAGTAAAAGTTTTTTTATGTGGCAAAAGCAACCAAATACAGCTTCTTTGAGGAACATCCAATGAAACAAATTAAGGACGTTGAGAAAAAAGGAACAGCAGTGCCGCAACGAAACAGTTTTCTCTTTTGTAATCAATAGAATAAGACAGGATATGAAATTAAGTACCTAATCCTCTCAATTCTCTCTTATTTTCCATTAAATATAAAGCAAGCGGCTCAAGCTTTATGTTTTCATTTTATTCACATCAAATTATTTTCTGAATAAGGAGCATCTTCACATATTTATTTAAAAATATTACCCAATTTTAAATAGTCACTGTGCTTTAGAATTATATCCTTATAATACAGATTTTAGGCTTGGCAAGAAGATCAACTCCCACGATTTTTCAGTTTTGCTTAAAGCACTAATTAAAAATGTTGTTATTTTTTCTCCCACAATGAGTATAACAGTTAAGCAAGCCATCCTAAAATACTGGTCAAAAACGATAAGGGAATAAAACTGTATACGCATTGCATTCTGACAGAAAATTGGAAGCTTCCCTGAAAAGCATTCCAGGGCATTCATGTCTGCATTAATATCTTTGATTCAAATGTTTGATTTATTATTTATCACCCTTCTTTCTTTTAAGACTTATTTTGCTCATTTACAATTTGAAAAAAAAGGAGGATTCACACTATCATTCCAAACTTTTACCATCTTAGTTTATTAAAATATTACACTGGGTATCACTGTTTAATAAATATATTAAAATTTTAAACGGAAATGACACGAGAATGTAATCATTCTTCTTTTTTGCGTCAGGTGATGCATGAAACATTTTTTTATAGAAAAAAAGAACAATTTTGCGAATAATAAAATCTGCTTCTTCTTTTTAAAAAACTTTATATATTTTCTTATTTCCGCGGCCAGTTAATTCTTAATTTTCTTTCCTTATTTTCATTTTCTTAGCTATGTGAATATTCGATTCAAATGTCCTCTTTATATTTTGTACAGTCTTCGACTGTTTATTTGAAATTGAAAAGTAATTTAATATTTTAAATACCATAATAAATGCTATAATTGTTTGCCTTTTGTACATCATATTCCTCATTTTCTATAAGAGGAAAAATATTGCATACATGTTTTAATTTTAATTTAAAATCTAAATTACAAGAATGTGTTTATTTTAAGAGCAGTTCTCGAAAGAACTGAGTTTATCATTACTTAATTTTTACTAAAACTTTTTTGTAAAATCTAATAATTTTGATGATTTATTCAAAATACCTAGATGACATTCATATTGTGCATTAAGAATGCTTATCAAAGTTCTTATTAACTGTTTCTTGATTTACTAGCTGCTTGCGAGGTTAGCCGCTTAAAATAGTAATTATAAAAGAAGAAAAAATATGTAAATGATGTAGAGACATTAGGTTTCTTTTCTTTTCTTTTTCTTTTTTTTTTTTTTTTTCTTGAAGGACGAGAGATGAAAAACTAGGAACTCCCGCTAGGAAGGCGGGAGAAATACCTTATTATGATTTCAAAGGGCCCAGATGGCATAACTCCAAAAATGATGTTTTTAATTACATATATCGTAAAATAAATGCATTTTAATTTAAATCAATTAGATCAAAATGTTAAAAAAATTATTAAGAGCCGCGTTTCTTGCTTTTAAATCGCTTAGTTCATTAACAAATAATAGATTAAATACAGAAGTTAAGTAACTTACGTTACTTAAGCAGCAACACACAGGCTCGTGGGAAATAGGAATATTTTTATTTACGGCAATTGACAACACATTGCTCTGAAACAGCAGAGTTTGTTGATTAAATTTGAAATTTTCAGTATCTTGCACTTTGCCGAACGGCAATGCATTTCTTTTAAATCGTTTACATACAACAAAGATAAAAACGTTTTATTTCGAGCAGCGGCAACGCATTACTTTTAAATCACTGAGTTTGTAAATAAAAAATTCATGAAATTGGCACAAAATATGAAATAAGTAAAAAACAAGTTAGAGCTTCGATTTGCGCATGTACGTGTGGAGAACTAAGTGTTCACATAGAACGAGGAACGTACATACATGCAATTTACTTTTTTATTTAATTTTTGAGATAATTATTTAATAAATTGAATAATTAAATCAGCCTATGTATTGGTGTCAACGATTGAAAAATAAGAAATAAGTTGTTTTATAATATCTGTTTTAGTATGAAGCCATGATTTTTGTTCTTTTTGAATTTTAGAATGTAATCTCTTCGTACGCAGCTCCATTTTTCTGCGTAGAAAATGCCCAGAAATCACCTAGTACCAAGTTCAACCTGCATGAAGTGCATTTTTGATCTCTTCTTTTCCGAGATTTCCGAGACTTCTACCTACATCACAGCACCAGAATATGGTTTAGCATTATCCTGGAGCAGAAACCACTCTTTATTGATGAAATGTGGTCTTGATTCTCACAAATGTTTATATAGTAGTCATGCTAATAGTAGTCATGCTAATCGGCGCGAAAGTGCTGTATCTCTTCTTAAAAACATGTATTCTGCATGTATATTCATATTTTGAAAATGCACTTCGGTTTCAAACCGAATAAAGCATATATAATTTTAATAATATCTGCGTATAGAATTCAAACCTTTTCGCCGTTTTAAAATAACTTCACTGTTTGAAACGTTATAAAAGAAAGAAAATTGCATAAAAAGCATAATTACTGAAAATTAAACTGCTTTTTCAGACCATTATAGCTGTCAGAACCCTTCGCATAGAAGAAAAGAATATATATTTGCATGTTTAAATGTAATGATGTAAGGAACTCTTTATTGCAGTTTTGAATTTTCTTTTTATCAGTTTAAAGAATGGCATTTGAAAGTAATTTTTGCGTACTAAATTATTGCTCTGCTTAATGAAAGATTATCATGCCATTAAAGTACTATGAATTCTTGATTTCATTAGTCAACAGTTAACATATGCATTAATAATTCCATTTTAAATAGAAATTTATCATATCGGAGCAAAAATGGACGGTCATGAAAAAATGCAATACGAAAGTGATTAAGTCTTATTATCGTTTATCTTTAAAAGATTGTTTCGATAGTTTTGACAAATTAAAGCATAAATGACAAATAAGCTGTTCAGTTAATATTTCCAGGTACACTATAACTTGGAGACTGAATGAAAATGGCTTAAGAACCCATAAGCCTGCGAAGAAACCTTTCATTATTGCAAAACAGAGACTTGAGGAATTACAAAAATACGTAGTCATGCAGGATGGACTGTGGATCAATAGCGTATAGTTAATTGGAGTAATGAAACGACACATTTTTGACACTTAATAAAAAAGCCGCATTTGTACTCAGTAAAACAACCATAGTTAACCCCTGTCGTATTACAGAGAAAGTAAAGCATCTTACTGCAGCTGTGATACGAGGTAGTCTCGCAACTAATGTAGTAGTTCTACTTCACATCATTAATGAATGCGGCCAATCATATTTGTAATGCTTAAGAGAAAAGTGCCCGTTTCAGCTATGAACATGTTTTAAACAATGCTTACATTGCTAAGGATAATAATGTAGTATGTTATCAAGCACGAAAACTTAATTTTCTAAATAAATAAAAAAATTCCTATGACCTGCCCAATAACCATATCTCAGCCAAATTGAAAATATTTGGATCATGTTGACACCGAAAGTCAATTTAAAGAGTACAAGCAGTACTTAATTTACAAGTACTCTTAATTTGAGCTATAGCTTTGTGCTGATATCATCTGATTCCAGTGAATCACCTTGACAAGCCTGTGAGTAGTATGCCCAGGCGATACGCATTATTAATAAAATGTATAGGATTTGCAATTAAATATTTACAATTTATATAATGTGAAATATATTTAAAATTCATTGGTTAATCCAAAATGATTGATATTTTGTAATTTTACCTAAAGCTGTTTTTAAACAAAATTATTTATAGTTTATAAGGATTTAAAAAGAATTTTTTTACATTAGCTTTATAGATTCTTTTCCTTTTCATGCATGATACTGTATCTACAAAAATGTTGTCATTTTAAATCTTAAAAAGCTTTTGGGTTTTTAATAGAATTAATGTTAATTAAAATATTATTTATTATGGTAAGCATTTAAGTTAACTTTTAAAATGTGGTTAGATGCACAAAATACACGCATTCATGAAGACCTTGTTTCATGAAGACTGTTTGTCCAGCGACCGCGAATGTTAACATCCGTAAGTGGAGTATTTGTCCTGTCAGAATGTGTTTTTCCAATCAAACGCCTTTGTATTCCCGTCACGTATTCTCGTCTTTGAACGTACTACGCACTGAAACGTTGAAATATGGCTAAGTGTTTCTGTGCCGTACACTGGCCTGAACAATTTAAGTATTTTACAACTGTTCCTCCATAGTTTAATACAAAATCCAAACACACCTCTGCCACATTTTTACAAAGACGTCCCCTTTATCTGCCAAAGGAAAACACATCTAATACTCCCGCTTTAAATCACAATCAGTACGCAATGCATAACCTTCCCGAATCCTTCTCAAAAGTCTTGCCTTTGCTAACATCAGTAAAGAGAAACAAGAGGCAGTCTTAAATTTTCAGTCAACCCTCGTACTTAACCGTCCGAATAATGTGAATTCATTGCAAAAATCCCCTTGAAAAATGCTAAGAAGTTCGATTATAGCATGAATTTTCTTTATTTTAGTATAAAGCTACGGTGAGTAAAATTATGGTGGCAACTGCATAAGAAAACGTTTGTTCAGTAAAGTTTTTGTCAATTTTTTTTTTTTTTTTTTTTTTTTTTTTTTTTTTAGTTTTCTAATTTTGAAAACTGAAATGACACCACATATAGTGAAAATCTCCCTAAGATGACAGCTTGTTATTTCATATGAATTTAGCTTTTTGTGGAAATAATCGCCTTAAAAACATAACAATCATTGTTGCTGAGTACTATTATTTTTGCGTAATGCTGTTATAGCAGTTATGAAGGGAAAAATGTTTTGAGTAAAATATCGTCAAATAGTGCAGCTAAGCATAATGCAGTAAAATCCGAGCCTACTAACAGCTGAACCTCATTAACTGCAGCGGTAACTTGAACTTATTGAACAGGGGAATATCATGGGCCGATGTCGTGAGAGGAATGAGCAGATGAGAGCAAAAGTGTTATTCAACAAATTATATTTGCACTCTGTATTTATATTTTACAGTATCCATATTTATTTTTCAGGTGGGAGATTTATCGAATGCTGAACTCAGAATACTTACCAGTCAACTCCATAGGATAATATATAGAGGTATATATTACATTTATCATTATTAATAAATAACTGCTATAATTCAAAATGAAACTAAGGATTATTATTCGAGTGCTCTTTACGTATATTTATTTTAAACCACTAGACGAAGAAGATAATATAACTTATTTTACTATTCCTCTGAAATTCACATTATGAACTAATTTTATATTCATTTTACAACTTCTGTCTACTTTAAGGGGGTAAACATACCTATAATGTTAGAAATGTGATCTGCAGTGTGTTACACATTCCACACTAAGACAATATTTGTATTAGAGTAAGGATAAAACGTCGGAACATTCTCTGTTTTAAAAACACAAACGACCTTGGATGCAAAAATTTATGTATAACTTTTTTCAACTTTTTCTTTCTATAAAAAACTAATTTAACACGAGCCTGCTGTTGGTAGAAAGAGAATATATACAATAATGTAAAAATGAACTGAAATTTGGACCACAGTTAATCGTCTAAATATTGAAGCTGTTATTGGTGTTACTGACAAACACTCATCACAAGCTAATTAAGCTACTAAGTATATTACACTAACAAGCAATCATGATGCTGTTTTCAGACTATCGAGATTAACGTTTCCAAATCAAATAAAACTGCATCAGACTTACAGTTAATCTGTTACTTTTATGCCTTTATGACAACTTCTTTTTCTCGCCGACTTTGTAAGTAGACTACATTCATAATTTAAAACTACTGACAAGATTTGCGACACAAGATTTGTGTTACTTGTTACGAAATTTTAACGGTCTTTTAGCTTGGCCGATGTATCTCAAACCACACTGACAAGATATGCCATAAATTCCTCAAGAATTAAAGTCAGAAATGGAATCTTTAAGACTTCATTAGAAGCTCTTAAAAGTGAGAAAATGGAGCAAAATTCTATCTTAATTTCAATTTTAAATTAATAAAGACATAATCAAGTATAACAAAACCTTAATAATCAAGTATAACGAAACCTTAATAATACAGTAATGGGAAATTAAATGATTAAAGGTGAAACGTTCAATTTTTAGGTCAAGAAGCGTATTTACAGCACTTGTCTGTGAGAAATCTTTTACCTGACACAAGACATTTTATGACATACGAAGGATCTCTGACCATGCCTGGATGTCAAGAAACAGTAACGTGGATTGTCATGAATCGACCTATTTATATCACTAAGCAACAGGTATGCAGAATTTTCAACTAAGATATTGAAAAGAGTTTTCCACTTTTATAGAGGCGCAGTGTGACATGTTTCTTTTTTGCTCCAATTAGAAACAGTTAAACCATGCACATTTATAAAAATACAACGTGACATGTCCATTTTGTAGCAATTAGAAACCAGTCAACAGTCCATATTTATAACTATTAAGAGAAGTTACTAAAAAAAGATTACGGTTATTTTAATTAAATATTATAACTGATGACTGATTATACAAAAGCAATTTGTTTAGTATTAACATAGCAACTGTGAAACAGAAAGCTATGTTCCTTTGCAATTATTCTAGATCATTTACTAAACGCTACTTTGTGCTTTTAGCTCTACATTCTGCGGAAGTTAGTGCAAGGTGTCGAAAATAGTCCAAAAGCTCCCTTAGGAAATAATTTTCGACCTCCTATGCCACTGAACCAAAGAGTCGTCAGGACAAATATTGACTTCCGGAGAGCTCAGGTATGTTAACTTTTCATTCAGAAATATGAAGCATTTCAGCATTGTAGTCTAATTTTCTCCTCTACCACAAGAAGTTCTGAAATTCGCTTTCAAAATTGATTCCCTTCTGTTTCCATCATCCGTTTATGATCAGACTTATACCTTCCTATTCAATTAACATCGAAAGATTAAGGAAAATAGACGATGCATAGCAGGAGAAGTTAACTCGTGCTTGCATTGAATCAATATTTGAAATCAATAGAAAAGCAGATGTTTCTCTTGACATTTCAAAATTAATACGAGTTTCTTCACCGTTTATTTTACGTTCAAATTTTAAGACGTAGCTCATTTCAGTATCATTTATGTAAATGCCAGTGAAGCTTTTGCATTTTAATTTACCTAATTTTAAATTAAACTTTAATTTAAGTAGCAAGAATATTCCACAAGTTTGTATTTCCTATTTCAGGGTAAGAAGTGTCCAACTATGCACAGTGATATGCGCTACGAAGGTATGTTTCTGCTTCCTTTAATATAAACAATTCCAGAATAAAGTTTAATAAATTCCATTATTTCAAATTGTACTTTTCGCTTTACCTTTGAAAAGCGTGTGAATGATGAGGTCGTTTCTAAACCTAACGATGTTCCACAAATAAAGCGATTTGCGAACGGAAATCCATCAACTCTTAGTTCTTTTATAAGGGAAAGTGGGGGCCAAATCAATTTAGGCAAATGTCCCATGTGCTTTTTAAATTAACTCGCGTCGCTCTCATGTTCTCGGAACCCCATTATCCTGAGATCTAATTAAGTGAATGAAATGGCAGTGGAACAGAAATTTCAAAAACAATGTCCTCTCCTGAAAACTTTACCGTTTGAAAAGTAATTGCCTCATTCTACTTACTTTTATTGAAAATAATGCATCTTTTTTCCCTCTTTTCTCATCCTGGAGTACTTAAGGGGAAATAAGCGAAAGGTTTCTATTCTAATAGCACCCAACGTTTCAGTTCAGTTTTAAATACCGTAAAGGCCTAGATCCAATGCTTAAATGTTTAGTTTAGAAAACTTCATTTCTCTGAGGTTACGAAAAGGCATTTCGATCTTATGTGTATTAATTTTAAGAAGTAGAAATAATAGTATTTATGTGTTTTGATAAATTTTTAATTTTGATTAAAAACTAAATTCACCAAAAAGGTTTTAATTTAGATTAAAAACTAAATTCACCAAAATTTTATAATGGAAGAGCTGTGAAATTTGTTTCTGCACATCCGCTACATAAAGAAATAATTCTTTAAAAAAAAAAGAAAGAATATACTCGAGATTTTTCTAAAGAGAATTATCGTGATATTCAGTTACTGTATGTTTTGAAAAGTCAAATATATACAGTTTAATTTTTTATTGTACAGTTTTTCACCTATTCTGTAAAATCTGAATTTTATTTAAACAAAATTTGTCATAGGAGTTGAATTAAGACACTGTATATTTGCAAATTGTTGATTCTTATCTTGATCTATCTACCGTCATAAACATTCAGATCCAATGAGGAAAGCAACATGCGATGCAAAATGCAATATTTATTATTAAATTTCAGAATCAATTAAAAAAATCTAATTTTAATTAGATAATTTTCGCTTGAATGAGCTTTATAAGTTTAAAATGTGAAAGCTGAGATTTAAAAATCTGTCAAGGGAGCGTTGCAATGAATGTTCAGCATTACATATTTATAACTACTATTAATAATTCATGAATGTTTGACGACATTCCATTTAATTTCTTTTCCCTTTAGGAATAGCTTCCTTTTTATCTTGCATTACGTCTTCCTCTTCCATCTAATTTTCAGGCTAATTGAATGAAACTCTTTTCTTGACGATTTTGTTCAACATGTAAATGAGGAGCGTTTCCCTTTTATCAATCTTACACCGAACCTTTCAATGAATCTTGCATACTCCCCCATTTCACAAAGAATAAATACTGGTTTAGAGAGTGAACGGTATAATTAATGGCATTTCTTCCGGTCGATACCTCAGTAGCGTCTCCTACTTGAAACCTTATTGATGTAGTTTCCTTACCTTGATAGCAAATTCGGAGAAATTATTCAATAAAGAGAGAGAGAGCAATCATTTTGACATGTCTCTCTATTACCATGTTTCTAAAAGCATGTGCTATCTTCAAGATGATCAAATGAAGATTATCTCGTCTGTGGTGTTTCGTTCAATAATATCTGCAGGTAATGGATTCGAATAAGTGTCACATTTAGGCACGAAATTCAGTCCAATGGACTATCACATCAAACTAAATGAATATCTTAAGTTTACGACCTCGCTTAAAATTATTAACGTAAATCTTGCTAATCAACAATTTACATGCAAATGTTTACATGCAATGGTTGCTCAAAAAAAGTGGCTAAAGGCTCTATTTATTTAAATATTTGTTATCGAGATGTAAATTCAATTACATAGTTTGTTAAAATAACCTGGAACATTTTATGAAAACAGTTTCAGCACTGGTAGTAGCAGATTTTGATGAATCATGCAATTTCATATTTTTTAGCAATTTAACTACAAAATGTTACATACTCTTAAGTAGAAGGTTCGCACAGATCTGACTGCAACTAATATTTTCATTGAGTAAGCTATAGAGCTAATAAAGCATGTTGATTTATCCAATATGAAACTATTACTCACCAAAATAAAACGCATTTTCACCTCCAACTAATCAAAATCTGATCGAAATTTCTTAGTATTCTGAAAGTATCACTTAGAACTAATCTAAGAGAGCAAATTCTTTCTCTTGTATTTCTACAAATTTTGTAATCATTCAGAAATAACAAGAATAAGATGTATTCGCTGTTATAGAAACGAAGTAATGTATTAGGCAAAGAGTGAGCAAATTTACTTAAAAGTCTAAATTTCGTGTGAAAAAGATCAGTAAAAGCAAACGATGGAAAAGAAAATACAAGATGTTAGTTAAATAAAACGTATACGCCAAGAATGTACTTATTTACTACTAATCAATGCTTAGACCTTTTTTCACTCCAGAACTGTGCTTATTTTCTTAATAGTACTCACGATTTTGTATTTTTTGTCTACTTTGTTATTTATGTGTAGCTTCAATTACAATTTACAGTCCAAGCTTGAAATCCACTTTTCGAAAATTCTGGAGATTACTTTCATGCACATGCCCTTAAATCCTATTTCACTTTTTTAACCTTGTTAAATCTGAAATCATACAGATTATTCTTTATAAGCTCGAAAGGACGAATGAAAATTAGAATAGGCTAAATTAGGACTGTAAGAAAGATAAGACACCATGGATTATCGCATACAGACAATGGTTTGATTTGCAAAAAATAATGTATATTATCTTGCAGTCTTTATTAAATAAATATCTTCCTGTAGTCTGTTTTTCTTTATGGCCTTCATCAAAATAAAACAGGTGATGATTGTTTTACACCCATCCAAATCAGCAATGAGAATAGCACTCTGTGCTTTTCAAAATACGGTTATCATGACCGCCTATGTTGATCTAGCAGATTTAAACTTTAAGAGCGTGTAGCTACTATGGCGCACTCTTTGAGTTAGACTTAACTTTGTGGATCATACAGGTAAGCTCACTTCTTATCTTCGAGGGACCACACTTTTTAACAATGCCTATTCTTCAGTTTCAAAATTCATCCAAGCGCACTTCATACACTACCATCCGCCTTCTCCGATTATTCTTTAGAAATCACTTATCACAAACTTTGTGGTATTCAAAGGCAAATAGGCCTGTGGTGTAGGATCAAACTCATCAGTAACATTCCGAACTGTGATACTGTATGTCCCTTTCGAAGCAATTCAACAGGACACTGACGTAACTGACGTCGACCAACAACCATTCCTCTTATTATTTACAATTCCGTTTATCCTCCTTAAAACGTTTTCATGTGCCACATATCGTTAATGTTCATTACGACATAATCATTAATCTTTAATTAAATATGGATATGCTTAGAAGGGCGTAATGTTCTTTCTTTAAATTTAGTGATAACTCTTTACGTTAGACTCATATTTTTAGTTTTAACCATTCGCTCAGAAAACGAAGAACGTACTTTAGCAGGATACGACTACTTCTATATCATCGATACAAAATTGACTTTCGTACTAATTGGTTTTCTGAATTTTAGCTTATTTCATTGAGGAAGTTTCTTTTATTTTAACGTAAGAGTAATTTGCTTAAATTTGTTCATCTTGTAGAGACATTAGGTATTTTGGAAGCAGGAGTCATGAAAAATTAGCAACGCCTTCTCCGGGAATCGAACCACGGACCTCTGGAATACCGGACCAGCGTGCAGAACCACTACACCACGAAGCCACGCTAGGAAGGCGGGAGAAATACCTTATATACTCCCCCTTTTAAAGGGCGACTGGGGTTTTTAGGGAACCCAATCACCAAATCCTGGGTGAGGAGAATCATCATCCAACACCCTTTTAGTTCGGGCACCACTGTAGAGACATTAGATTTTTTTGAGGCCGAAGAGATGAAAAATTAGCAACGCCTTCGACGGGAATCGAACCACGGACCTCTGGAATACCGCCCCAGCGTGCAGAACCACTACACCACGAAGACACGCTAGGAAGGCGGGAGAAATACCTTATAAACTTATTTACTATGTCATTTTGGTTGTATTTTCATCTCATGTTGGTTTCTAGCTAAGTATGAACTGAAATACATCAATGAACAATCAGGTTTATATGCAAAATGATAGAAATTTGAAGGTTTGAATTTAATACTTAGAATTATAACATATTCCCTTATATAGTTTAAAATATGCCCTTTCTGGCACATTATCTCGTGGCGACAGCATCTTCAATAAATTTTATGAGATAAGTAGCCCGTTGTTTAATTTTTAGTCCTTTTTATTATTACTTTTCTTATACTTTGATGCATCAAGTTCATGGTTTTAGATTCTTTCTTTGATTATTCTCTCTCTCTCTCTCTTTTTTTACACTTTAATGTATCGAGTTCTGGCTGATCAAAAAAATATATATATATATATATAATCAAACTTGTTGCTTTTTCATATGATACACAAACATTTATAGCCGTTCTAATTTGTCAGAAATTACAAACATAGAAGCATAACTCGTTGACTGCGCCTTGTATAATTTTTAATCAATTCTTTGACGACACGTTCGTATATTTAATATTAACTAACTTTATGTAATGTTAAAATTAGTCTCGTAATAAGGTCTCTTCTTATTTGAAACTCATCTCATTTGCATGAAAGAATATCTTCGAATTTTGAGCCTTCCGAAATAAAATCTATAGTAAATTATTTTCTATTATGCTACTATTTAACAAAATTTGAGACACCGATTTTATTGTGTGGTATGTCTATAATTCTGACCTTAATACTGACAATCTTATAAAGCAAGTTTTTTCGCATACCTGTTAAGAAAGAATAAATTAAGCTAATTCTTTGCACTTGTTTTTCCGAAGGACCTAGCCCATTTATTGCAGGAAAAAAAAGAGTTCAGAGCTACCAAAAGAGTATTAATAGCAAAATGGTAACATTTACTTTGTAAGGTATATTTTAATTTTATAACAGTTATTTTAATTTTGAAACCCTTTCCTATCGATTCTGGTTTCCACTTACAAATCCCTACCAGAATGAGTTTTTAGAATCGCGTTGAATACAAATGTGTTAGAAGAAATATTTAAGGAAGGTTCAGCTTACTTCGATAGGAGGTGCTAGGAGTCCTTAGTGGCGCGTGTTTCCCTTCTAGATAAGTCACTCTTGAAGCTGTTACTCTCTGCCGTATTATATGTGCCTATTGATATTCGCCGGTCAGTTTAGTTCAAGGGCCAACTACGTTAGATAATTGTGTTTAGCTTCGGCTAAGTCTAGTTTAGTTAATTATAGTTTAGTTTATTATTTTGTTATTCTGAATTAAAGCCCGAGTAGAAGCTTTCTTGTAAGCCCGAGAAGGAGCCAACTGTTATTCTTATTTGCGTGAATAAAAGGGTATTTTAACCCTTCTTGCGTCTACGTCTTATTTGTTTGAACTCAGCAATAAGTCGCTACATAGTTCATTGGGTTCCTCGACGTTTCATCTTAGACAAAGCGCGAGGAAACCTACAACTTTAATTTAATAAAAAAGCATGCATCCTAAGGAATGGAAACTTACTTTAAATGCGTTGTTATGAATCTAAGCGCATGCCTTAGATGGCGCATAAGAACATATGCATAAGAACATGTTTTTAAATGAGAGTGGGGGAAGTTATTTTCAAATAAGTAAAATCGACGCTATTTGACACGAAGAATTTACTTCGTGTCAAATACTCACGTTCATCTCTAATGAACTTCTCATTAGAGATGCCAAATATTTTCAGTTTACAATTAAAAATCTACAAAACTTAAAGTTATTATTTCGTATCGTAATGCTGTTTCGACTTTTTCAACAATAATGATATCTTACACTACGTATACATACAAAATTACTGGAATATGGCGCATAATTTTTATCTTACTTCTTGGTTAGTAGTGAGGTTACTACATATGTAATTTTGATTTCATGTATCGTTGTTTGAACTTACAAAGGGTTTTGAGTGCAGGGTTTTAATTGCATTAAAAAACTACGTATTTAGTGTATCTATGTGAAGTGCTTGAAGCTCTGTGTGGGCAAGGTTTAATACTTATTACTTTCATGCTGTTGTTGTTACTATTATTATTATTAGAAGTAGTAATAGTAGTAGTCAGTGCCACTTTAACATCATTATGAACCGCCTAGCAAAGCAGTGTGCTGGGGCCCCTATGACAACCACTCACAGAATTTAAGACGGCCATGCGTTAAGACGGCCCCCTGGTAGTAGTAGTAGTAGTAGTAGTCGTTAGCAGTAGCATTAGCAGTATTATTATTATTATTATTATTACTAATCTTATATAAATATTAGCTTAGAGACATTTTATTGTTGAGCTCTCGCATCTGCAAATCTCATTCAACATTCAGTGCGAAATACATTTCACAGAAACAATAAGCTGTGATAGTAATTATGTGTGTAAAAAGTTTACGTCAAAACCACTTCATTATTCGTATGTTCGACAATACATAATTTGTTTTGGTTTATTCTTGAAAGCTAGGAAATGGAACCAGAGCCCATGACAATGGCTGCTAAATCAATAGTGTCACCATCAAGAAACTACTCCTGGAGAACTATGTTCCTATCCCTCTCCTGCTCAATCACCATGGTTTAGCACTCCTATTTTATAACGGTTCGCCCAGACACTCATAGACGAACATCTTTCGAAGGAATTTTTAAGAAATCTTTTTACTACGAGCTTCATACTATATTTGGGTAAGATTTAACATTTGGACTATATCTGAGTAATTTACTTTTCAGTAGACTATATTAAACTAAAAATTTGCATTGAATATTTTTATTTTTTACAACGTTTCTTAAATATTTTTTTAATTGCAACATGATATTTAAAAAGGAAAGTGTGACTGCATGTCCAAGAAACCTTTCCTTTTTTCAGAACATGCATGTTTAAGAACACTTTACTTGATTCACAATATTCCTGTTTAAGAACACTTCACTTAATTCAAGACACATCACATTTAAACCTAAACGTGTTCAAGGATCAATTCATGTGTTAGTATAAATATTTTACTTAAAAATTTTGGCAAAAACATATTTATTTTTACATTTAGCGACATGTAATTTGCTTAAAATATAACATTGTTCATATTTATACAGCTGCGTAAGATGGATAAGCAGGAAAAAATCGAAGAATCAAATTTTGTAATATGCATAGAGTTCTTGCTGAAACATTGAAACATAGCATTTAAAGATGTAAAAAACTTTCAAAAGATTTTGAGATTTTATAGTTTTGAAAGAATTTGAAGCAAATGTTCGTCCCATAACTTGTAAAAATCATTTAAGTATTGATGTACAGTGACTTGTCAAAAGGATTTAAGCAATGATACACAATAACTCGTAAAAAGGAATTAAGCATTGATGCACAACAGCTTGTAAAAAGAATTTAAGCACTGATACACAAACCAAAATGATAACTGTAGAAAATACTGCTATGCAGTTAACAATGCAGGTGCTTTTTATAAAATGTTTCCTATAATTTGTTCATAAAGTACTCACATAGTAGTTTAAACTTTGTGGAAACACAGTGTAATTGCTCCTTTTTTTGTGTTTATCCGTGTGTCTGACAAGGTTCCGGTTTCACCAAGTTCACTTGCCTTTGCAAATATTTTTAGCCCACCAGCGGCCGAGGGGTAATGTCGCTGAACACTGGTAGTTTGGTCAGAGGTTCGAATCTCGGTGAACAGACAGACTGACTGCACGGGCATTTTCGTGGTTTTCACATGTGTGACGTGTATACAAGCCAGTTTCCAATAGAATGTCCTCCAAGATGGCATCATTCCCCTTAAGCAGAAAGCTTTATCATAAACAAATACACCAAACGAAACTTTTTAAGTTCATGAAGTTAAATTAGTATACACTAGTTTGATCAATACATTAAACTAGTGTTAAATAAGTAATTATCACTTAATCATAAAGATCATTAATGCACTTATGCGTAGAATGTTTACACACTTAAAATTGACTTGCGGTGACTTTTATTGATCTACAGTGATATGTCACTCTGGTCACCAAATATGTACATTACTTATACAAAATTTACACAAGGCTGACTGAAAATAAGCGCTGAAGAAAAAATGTACTAGATTAGTCTCACTTCACTTCACTTGTTTCTATTAAAAGCAATCAGAACACGCTCACTTCAACAAAACATCTCGCTGACTGTAAAACAGCTATAACGAGTTCTGCTTTGAGACTGTAGTAATGTATTCCCTTTCCCAAATGTTGAAATGATTTAGATGTCTGGAAGTTCTCGAACTTTTAGGAATACTTTTACATTTAACCCTTGAGTCAATGACCGACAACTCTTTTGTGAATTTTATTTGAATTTTTATGGGTTTTAATTAAAGTATGCCAAGATGGCTTCATTTCTCCAATATCTGAACGATTCTTAATCTTAAGATAAGATTTCAAAATGATATGCAAAAGTGCTATCATATGTTTTGGCACCAAACATATCTGTGTCGTTGATTAGGGAACAGGTATCTGGGTATCCATGCGCTTTTTTATGCACGTAATTAGAAACGTCGAATTACTTAACCTTTCACCTTCTGCAAACATATTATTTAATAAGACACCTTTTACGGTGTCATATAATATATAAATGCACATTACGTATTGGCTTTTCACAATTTAAAAACAATTTTCTTATTTATTTGGGTCATTTCTGTGCAACGACGTTAATCTAGCCAGTTCCGTTAGAGAGGCCTGCGCAAAAGTATCCTTCCCCTTAAACAGAAAGAACACTCGCATGACTTGCCATAGCTGATTAAGCAAAAGAAACCAAACTCACCTGGCAAACTTCAACTATGCTTTTCTTTTTTCTACTTGCACCCTACGTTGGGAAGTGAAGTACAATTAAAATTTGATAATTTGATGAGCCTCAGACTTTCAATTCCATGTTTTCAGGTTGCTTTCAAAACCTGATTTGGTAAGAAAACGTCTGATGGTTTGAATATTCAGACAAATTAGGCAAAAACAAATCTCTATTCACCAGGAGAGGAAATAAATTGGTCGTGAAGAAGAAATAAAAAACTTTCCTTAAAACAAAATCTAAGGTTACTTGCCAAATGTATGCTACAAACAAAGCAAGAACTTCTGTACTCATGATGGTGCCTCTCTCCTCCCCAAAAAAAAGATGAGATGCCAGTTATTCATTCATTTCTGAGTGGTGTTTAGTTCCATTTATCCATGGCGTCATTCCCTGACTTTAATCTTGTAAAAGTGACGACTTTCTTGTCTTTTATCGTCGTAATAATATTTTTTGTTAATGCATAAATTAATATGCAGTCTCACTTTTCTTTTGTGCATCTGCACATATCGTTACAATCTCGTGGAACTCGAGTAATATAATTTTAATGTTTGAAATGTTTTCGACAGAGCTTTTCTTTGGAATTTAATTTTTGTTCTGCTTTAGAATTTCTGTAACTATCGTTTTTCATGATACTAGTGGTTTAGCCAAAGACAGAGAAGTGAAATTATATCCATTGTAACGTTTTAGTTGTATCTTATGTAAGGAACTAAATCTTTTATGAATCATTCTCCTTGATTCGTTTTAAGAACAAGACCTGATTTTCTCTATGTATGTTCAGGAGGTGAACTGAATAAAAACTTTTGGCTCCACATATCTACTAAAGTGCTGTATTTATTCGGCTTAGACATGATACGCTGAGTGAACTGATATCTTCCTAGTGTAAAAATAATTGCTCTTCTAATATTAGATTGTCTGCTGGTCTATATTTCTTTACTAATGGAAATCAAAGATTGAACATATATGGCGTATTTCAGCAGCTTGAAAACATTCTGTCCCTGTGTGTTGATTGTCAAAGTAAATTAATCGAAAGATATTCCAAAATCGATTTAGAATCATATTTGTTTAATACAATGGATACAAATTTGGCTTTCACATTTCTAGCATATGGTTTACAATTGAATTATAAACACAAGCTGAATCAGGACTCCCATGACATCGAACTCTCGCATCGTAAGTTTCATCTAAGTAAATCAATCGATTGTCTCGATTATATTTGTCACAGGTATTACTTGAATTTTTAATTGTATATCTAATTAGCATGTCAATAATTTCGTTTGTAAATATGCAACTAATTATTTTGAGCAATTATTATTCCAACAGCAAATACTCAGACGTAATTTATGAATATTTGATAAAAAAATGTACTTTTCCTTGCACACACTGCCTTGAAAATATTTTTTTTTTCATTTACTGGCATTATCTTAATAAAATAATAAAATGCAAATCCTACAAAAAATTAAATACTTCACATGTGCAAATAAAATTTTTTCGATGTATTTGGCACTAAAGACATCACCTTCGAATAAAATATTACCTAAACTAAAGCCGCAAATGAGCATTTATTATTTTTCTCAAAAATTTTTAAAATAAACAATATATAATGTATTGAGAGTTACATGAAAGCGAACTGTAGGGAGAAAAATATAATTTTCAGGGCGCGATACTTTGAAATTCAACATGGATTCCCGGTCATTGATGTATGAAGAAATTGATTTGGTCATTTTCAAGAGAGTACGCGACTTGGTAATTGCCATCTGATATACAGATGTCATTTACGCCTTTTAGATTTGAGCTCAATACGTTTGAGAGGATAAGTTTTAACAGAATGTTTCCTATAAAATATTTATCTATAAAAAATGCATATAAAACTAACTTTGTAAATTACAGGATACTTTAACGGTTCGGTGCTATTTTTACCATGACCAGACATGGGCCACAGTCCCATATCAAGCAACATAGTTAGATGAAATAATACTCTGATTTCTGTATCTGAAAAAATCTTGATTAAGTAATTAGTCTTTTCATTTCGATTATCTTCTAAAACCAATAGCGTGAATATTAGAGGAGCCAAATGTTTTTCATGAAAAGGATTTGTTTCGGTAAGTTCTTAAGATCTGTCACCCCCGCAACTGGTTTTAAAATATGTTCTATATTTAAGTATACTAGTGTTCAAAATTACCTTAAGTCTTTCAAATTTAACAATATGTCAAAAATTGCTGAACTAAATTAAATTACTTTTTTAGAAAAATAAGGGAAAATTTAACTACCTATCCAACTTAATCAAGGCCTTTCCATAGTCACTGAGTATCCACTTCCACTAATTATATCTGATGAATTTTGAGTATATTTGATTTAGTTTTGAAGCTGTATGTTTCTTTCTTATATAAATCGATTGAGAACCTCTCTTCTTACTTCCAAAGCATTATTTGAAGGAATAGCTTCGTTGAAGAGAGACGGACCGTTTAGAAGAAGAGTAATCAATAAGTGAGGTAACAAAATGTTTAAATGCCTTTAAGTAAGTCATAATATCTCTAAATGCTTTTAAGATAAAAGCATTTAGAAAAAAATTTAAATATACTGTTACTGACCAGCTGAACAGAGGCAAAAAATAATGTTAAGATCCTTCGAAAAAATCAATGGTTGCCTTTAATAGCACATGGCAACAGGTAGTTGACTGCTTTTGGAGCCTGCAGCTACCACTCGGTTCTTTGCATTAAAGAAGTATCAAGAAAACATCATGAGTAAGGTTTTTGCTCTATCATCGCATACGTTTTGTCTCTTTAACCTCATATCAGAAGAAAAAGCCAGGCTGAATTTGTACAAAACGTATAGTCAACTGCAATGAGCTTGTGTAAAATGCGAGGAAAACGTTTTCTCAGTAGCA